TTGATATTTGGGGGGAATATTACCCATGCTTTAGAGAATTTTTAGAGCTCCAATGATCAATGAAATAAATGCATGCGAGTTCAGAGTCCAAATGTACCAGGAGGAAGTAATAATTTTTAGGGCATGGATTTGATCCCTGGCACTACATGGTGTTCCCAGTGGTCCCTGGTGCACTGCCAGGTATAACCCTGCCGGCCCACATGCACCATCTCTCTGGCCCTTATGGTTGCCACAGTACAGGGCCTGAGCATCACGACATCCTCTGATTGGCTGAATATTATCTGGAGTGGCCTCTGAGCACTCGAGAAGCCCTTCCAGAATAGAAATAGTAGCTTTGCATGTCCCATCTTAGAGGATGACAAACCATAAAGAGCAAAACTGTATTCCTTAATCCAAGTCTAAGGTAGCGACTATAAGACTGTACTGTTTCCCCTAACAAAGTTGAGCTTAAAATGACAGGGGTGGGCGGTGGAGAAGCAAAGGACTGATTCACATACTTTGCATTCCAGAGACTTGGGTTCAACAGTGGGTACCACATGGCCCCCCAGGCTCCACCAGAAGTGACGGCTGAGCACAGAGGCAGTAGTAGCAGCCAATCAGGTGTGGCAAAGCTGGAGGCGGAGTTGCTGAAGGGGGCGGTGCTGGAAGAGGGGTGGAGCTGAATGAAGGGGCGGGGTGGGAGGAGGGTCAGAGCTGGTGGAGGGGCCAGGTTAGCAGAGGGGCTTTAGGTGCTGGCTCGGACAATGCTAGTGGAGTTGGTGGAGGAGTGGTTGGCTGGAGGGGGCAGTCCTGGTGTTGGGGGTTATATTTGAGGTTTAAAATACATGAAGGACCCCCTCAAGTAGCAGCATGGAATGAGAGCTGAGATGGAGAACTCTACATGCTTGTATCAGCTCTCTTTTGAAGATGTATTTAGCTTCTTCTGAGCCAGCCTCCGCAATAGCTCCAATCTAACGATTTGTTGGCTAGAACCGTTTTGAGGAATTGGCCAGAATTCCATCAGAGGTTACAGGCCAATTTTAAAAAGGAAGAAAATTTCTTTTCCCTTCTTGATTTTACATAAACGGGTCTGGCCAGACTCCAATTCCTATTTGTGCTTTTCATTTGTAAAGTTCAAAACTCAAATTTATTATTTACTATTTCTTTCTATGCTGCGATGAAACTCTGCAGAAATTTTTCTAGATCCTCACCGTTTATGTTATGAAAAAACACATATGAGACTTATTTGGATATATATTATATGTATACACAATATATATCCCTTCTTAGTTAATTTTTCATTCTAATGTGTTCTGGCAGACTATGTGGATTAGTTGTAGAATTCAATTTTAATATACCTTTATAAGACACAAAAAATGGCAGAATGTGCTCTCTGCGGGTACTTTCCATAATACATTAAAATCACTCATGACTAGTGTAGTAATGAATAGTACAGTACAGAAAGTATGAAAATGAATTTTCTTTTGAAATTCAGCTAGTGTTACTAGTTAAGAACTTTCTGTGTCTAAGGAGAACCTAGGAGAAAGATTGGAGTAACCAAACTCATTAATGGTCAGGCTTTTTGAAAAGGGTTATGTATCTGTAGATTTAAAAAATTGCAACAAGTTTATTGACAAAAATGTATGTACTGTTAAATTCACCCATTGCAGTATATATTTAGTGAGTGAGTGGGTTTCAATGTATTTTTAAAGACTGTGTAACTATCATCACTGTCTAATTCCAGAATATATTCCTCATTCCCCCAAAGGAAGTTTTTACCTATGGAATATTCCAGTTTCTCCCCTGCCCAGACCTTAGATATTTAGATATCACTAATATGCTTTCCAACTCTATTAATTTGTCTTTTCTGGGTATCTAACAATAGAACCAGCCAGTGGGTAGACTTTTGTGATTGGCTTCTTCCACTTAGCATATTGTTTATACTTGAGTTCACATAAGTGCAGTATGTATTAGGATTTCATACTTCTTAGTGGTGGAATACATTCTACTTTGTGATACATTTTATCCATCTTTTGATGAGCACTTGGGTCCATTCATCTGCTTAAGGAGCTTTGGTTGTTTCTGTCCCTTGGTTATCATGAATAGTGCTGCCATGGACTTGGATATGCAAGTATCCCTTCAAGACCCTGTGTTCAGTTCTCTGGGGTTTAAGGCTAGTCTTGGATGTTCTAGGTAAAATTCTTAATAACATTATGAGGCACTGTCAAACTGACATAGCGACTGCACCATTTCATATTCCCATCAAAATGTTTGATGGTGCCAATGTCTCCAGTTTATTTTTTATATTATTATAACCATCCAAATGGGTGTGAAATGGTATTGTATTGTGATTATTATTTACACTTTATTACCAGCATATTTTTAAAATAAGTATATGTATATGTACATGTATATATATATATATATCTTCTTGGGGGGTGCTATACTGGCTGTGCTAAGGGACACCCCTGATGGTGCTCAGAGACCTTATGTGATGCCATGGATCAAACAAGGGCCACCTGTGTGCAGAGCCACAGGCCTTACCCATTGTAGTATCTCCCTGGCCCTAAAATGATATTTCGAATATATTTCTAGAGGTCATTTCCCTGACAAATTTAGGCCTGTAGAATAGGGCTCCATATGGATTAAGTTGCAGAAGTACCCCCAAAACAGTAAGAGGACCCATAGAATATCCACATGAAAAGTCTGTGAATTGTTACTTAGACCTTTAGGACTTCGTACTCAGCATTATTAATTGCCTATTCGGTTCCTCAGAAAGGGAGCTAGAAAATCCACTGTTATTGAGGATCTACAGATACTTTGATATTGTGGCAGGAAGAGAAGTGACAGCATGCATGACAATTAATAATCCGCCAATTAATAATCTGCCACTGAAGGATGAAAATTTCCAGGAGATTGCTGACCTCAAGTTTAACCGGAGGCCAAATTATATATACCTTTTAAAGAAAAGAATACAAAGATACACATAATACATTTTTAAAAGATTTCTGGGGCTGGAGCAATAGCACAGCGGGTAGAGCGTTTGCCTTGCACACGGCCGACCTGGGTTCGATTCCCAGCACTGCCAGGAGTGATTCCTGAGTGCAAAGCCAAGAATAACCCCTGAGCATCGCCGGGTGCGACCCAAAAAGCAAAAAAAAAAAATTTCTATGAAGAATAACTCAAAGGAAGCATGTTTTTTTCTTGAATGGATGAGCTTACATGAACTTTTTAGAACTTTAATTTCCCACTAGTATCTGAAAAATTAGGTGATATTGAGTTTCCTCTAGGATGTGGAATGAACAAACAAATTTCAGATTCTGTCATTTTTTAAAGATTCGGTTATAGAAAGTAAATAAAATGTTTTCAAGAACTTCAATTCTGCTTTTTTTTTGGATGAAACTAACAATTGGTTGGTATCCGAAATCTCTTACTTTTTCTTTCGAAAACCGCTCTTCTTTCTATATGCGTTCAGGGAAAAATTTCAGTAAATTTACTTTTCATCTATCTTCTCAGCTGAGTTGTTAGAAATTGTAACTGGTTGACACTCATTTGAACTGCACACCTTAAAGCTGCACTGTATTTAATGTACGAGTGAACTGCCTGTTCTGTCACACGTATTTGCTATATTTGTTGTAACTTCCTGAGTTGTTCCAATACTCCTTCATAAAAACTGATAACAGAACTTACAAAGAACTAAATTCAGCCTCCTTTCAAATGATTTCTTTCCCTATCTAATGCACATTTTTACATTTCCATCTGCTGTCCGAGTTCATTTGTAGTGACTACAGGTTTTGATGCAACCACTATTTTATGTGATCATTAACAGTTACATTTCAGATGCACACACAGAATTGTCTCAGCGCAACTTAAATTTTCTTAGCGATTCTTGGTTTTTAGATTTGGGGAGCAGTCATCAAGTCTTAACTCAGATTGTAGCGAAGCCAGTTTTATAAAGCATATTGGTGTAGCCTCTGGAGACACATGGGTGTATCATTACCTGAATAAGAAGCCCTCATTGGCAGGTCTTGGCATTTTCTGTTCAGTGGACCTCAAAATGAATATATGCCCTCAAACTCTTCAAAATGAAACAATATTTTAAAAATCTATCTATCTATCTATCTATCTATCTATCTATCTATCTATCTACCTACCTACCTACCTATCTATGGTTTCTGGGCCTCCCCTGATGGACTTCTGGGCTTACACCGGACTCTTACTCGGGGATCACTTGGTGGAGTTCTGGAGTCCATACGAGATGCTGGGACTAGAACGTGGGTCAGGTGTTTGCAAGGCAAGCTCCTTAGCCTCTGTATTATTTTTCAGTCTCCAAACAACTTTTGTAAAAAATGGGTTGTAATCTAAGCTTATATTGTAGCAGTAAATATTTTAGTGGGGTGCTGGAGGAAGTCTCCCAAGCAGTACTTAGGAGCCTAGGGGTGCTGTGAATGGTTGTGCTGGGTCAACTGGACTGGTAGTGTTTGGGAGGCCTCCAGGGTTCTATTTGTCAGTGCTCAGTAGACCATGTGGTGCCAGGGTTTAACCAGAGATGGTTGTGCGCAAGGCAAGCACCTTACCCCCTTGCACTCTTTCCTGCCACATAATAGTAAATTGGATTTGCTCTTTTTTTTCTGCTCTGCACAGTTCACTGTGAGAAAAATCCCTTTAAAATATGTTCAATGACTGACTTTACTCTGTTGCGTTGTCTGTATCTAGATGCTTCCAGTTTTAAATAGGATAGGGTTATTTCTTTTTATAGCTCGTGTTTAAAACGGAAGCATTATATACTATTAGCTAATTTCATTTTATGTTTTTTTCTTGCAGGTTTCTGAAAAGTGCCTTTTCTGAAAACTCTGCTGCTTGGATTCCACTCTAGAGCTGTCTCTCTATAAACCCCTCTCCCTACCACCCCTCACCCCCCTCCTTCACCACCTCCCCTCCCGCCAAATCTGGTGTGCTTGTAGTTTGCTCTCAGCAACTTACCCATTCCTTTTTTCTTTGATTCTCAGTTTTCAAAGTCATTTTCCCTCCTCCTGATTTTGTAGTGCAAACAAAAAAATTTTTTTTTAAAAATTGTAGCATCCATCCCAATTTTAACCTTTAAAGGTAAGAAATTGGGAGAAGAACTTTTCTCCTCTTGAACTGAGACCATTCCACAAATTGACGGGCAGCCAGCAGCATATGCTTTTTGCAGAAATAATTGAAAACATCAACTGGAGAGCACAGAATCCTTTTGAAAGTCTGCCAATTATTTGAAGTAATTTCAGCAGAGGAACAAAATAAAACACTCAATATCTTAACCTTTACAGTTGCCTTCTTAGGAGTTGGTCTCTAATTTGATTTTTAGTCATTCTGATACAGTTTTTATTTTATGATTGGTTTTTTGTTTGACTAGACGGAATTTGACTTTAATGAAAACCTAAGTGCTAACAAAGAATCATTTCACCAAGGCAACCTATTATCTCTTCACATTTAGCTTGAATTCATTTTTAATCTTTTAACAACAGCAGTAATATTGTCCTAAAGAGGGTGCACTTGATTTTCATTTTGTATTCAATATGACGTCTGTCAATGTTTCCCTGGTTCGTGATACCAAGTGGCTGACGTTAGAAGTCTGTAGAGAATATCAGAGAGGAACTTGCTCTCGGGCTGATGCAGACTGCAAGTTTGCCCATCCACCAGGAGATTGCCATGTGGAAAATGGTCGTGTGGTGGCTTGTTTTGATTCTTTGAAGGTGAGTCTCATCTAAATGCATTGAATGTTTAAGTTGGTGACTTCTTTTTTTTTTTTTAAATCTGTGCTCTGAAGTTAGTCAAGTTAATAATAGCATGAAAGTGTTGAGTGTTGTTTCTTCTTTTTGATTTTGATTTCTCAAAATTTTGGTTTTGAGTTCTCAAAAACTATAGGATGTTGATTTTAATTTATAGAAGTAGACCTCCTTGAAGAACAAGATAGCTAGACCCTAGGAAATAATTTTTAGGAGTTTTATTTCATTGGAGGAAGAGGTTGCAACTTTGCCATGCTTTACTTCTTTGTATATGATTGAGTGATTATAATCCTTTACTACCTAAGGGAATGCTTTACTGAATTAGGGTTTATTTGTATGTTATTGAAATGTAGTTAGTAAGGACAAGTTGGCTTTCAGGAGATAAAGTCAGGCTGAGGACAAAAATCTCATTGTCCTGGAGGAAAATTAATGGCATTTTGAAGTTTCTTAAGGATTATTTTGAACCTTTAGCTCAAACACAGTGCTATAAAACTAAACGTACTTAATTTTCTATTTGAACAACTGAATAATTTCAGAATTTTGAATGCATTTTATAAGTCCTATTATGAATGTCATCAAACCAGAATATTATATACCAAAATAAAAACAAAATATGGGCCACATGAGATGCATGAAGAGAGTAGAACATATATATTATTGTGGACCAAGAGAATGCACTGATTTTCATGTCTTTTCCATGAAAATTGCACTTAGATAAAGATAAATATGTACAAATTGAAGTGTAGTAATAAAAGTGCTAATAGACTTCTGGTTTATTTAATAAGTTACTATCATGAACTGGACATTTTTTAAATATGTCAGAGAATTAAGCTTAATAAGAACATCTTCAGTATCTAGACATTGTTTTATCTTCATCAGCAGCTGTTTTGCTAATATTTTCATTTATGGCTGCATTAGTCAATAGATACAAATTCTTTGTTGTGATTTTCATTTTGTTAATTGAGATATCACAATTTACAGCAGTATGAATATTTGTTTTTAACGTACAACCATTTCATAAGGAAGCACTGTCATGTAGTATACTATTTAAGCAGCAACTTTACTTATGTTGTAGTTAAAAGTTTTTGTTGCAGACAATTCCAGTTCAAGAAAGAAAACTTGTTAACATAAAGATAGAGGTAATTTTGACCACTGAAAATGTCTGAGTACTTGCTCTTCTTAAGAACAAGTACTGGCACTAAAGGGCTAATTCTGTTTGCTTCATGTCACTTAATTCAGGTTTAATCTTCAGTGACTTTTTGTGCATTTTTACATCTGCTCGTGGCCATTGCAGTGCCCTGAAACAGTAAAGAGCTGTGGGAAAGGTGGGGAGAAGGGTATCTTTCATCCAGTTCCTATAGATGCCTTTCACCCAGAGTGCTGCATACTTTACCTATGTTGTTTTAGGATATCTGGAGTATAGACTCTCGCTCACTGCTTTAGTTCATCGTGGCTATTTAATCTGATAAAACATTTCTAACAGATGCGTAATTCCTCTCTACCTACTTTCCACAATTAGTGTAGAGATTTTAGTGAAAAGGCATAAATAGAAATGCATGTACTATAATAAAAGCACACACCACACAATTTGTTTAATGCAGTGTGACTTCAATAAATGTCAAAATTCAAAACAATAAAGAGAGAAAATAGGGAGAAAAAAAGTGAAGTTAAAGAAAAGATTTTCCTGTAAATGTGTCTTTTAGAAGATCTAAAAAGTAGTTTTATTGTATTAGGGATTATTAATTAAAACTACAAACTCATGTTCTATATGGGCATGCCTGTACCTGTTCACCACGAACGTGATAATCGTCGTTGAAGCTAAGTGTTACTAATTTTATGACTTAGTCTTTGATACAGAATACCTTACAAGCTTTGTAAATTCCATGTTTATATGCACCTAGTAGAAAAGGTGTGATCTTCTTAATCATTAATGTATTTCAGCTACCTTCTGTCATTTAAAAGCAAGAGTGTCATAAAGGAAACATTTTGAGGAAAAAAGAATATGGAAGGGGATTAATAAATGCAGACTGCACTACTACTTTAAAGCTTGTAAAATGTTTAATGCAGAGACTACATAGATAGTGGCTAATGAGGCACTCAATTATTTAAATACACTGACTACTCACTGCTTCCAGTGTTTGAAATATAATTTTGCATTACGTTAAGATCTTGATGACCAGTCACACAAGATAAAGATGATTTACATAATTCTTACATTCTCAAAATTTAATGAAATTTAATATTTTAAATATACAAAGCATTTCAAATAATTCATCATATGGATGCGAATTAATTATTTGAAATGCTTTCTCTACATCACTGTCCCCACAGAAAGCTTTGTAGTTCTCTTCTTTGATATACTTTCATACACAGGCTGCACATGAAAGTTTTACTACGTTGAAGGTAATTTACCTACGTGTGTTGTGCTACTATCATATCTATAATATAACAGATAAGTTACTAAAATAGTTATTGCGGCAGTTGTTACTCCTAGTGATTTGGTATAATTGAAACACCTTTGAAATGCGTCTGTGTGCTGTTTCCTCTCCCGTGAGTGGTTAAATAAATGAAGCAATAATTTGATGTTTGGGACTGCTGCTTTTGTTTTTGTGTCTTTTGTTTTCATAAAGCTTCCATTAGCAGTAGGTACTTTACCAGATGATGTTTTTTTGCTTTCATAATAGGTACAATAGATACACTGTCTTATATTCTTTTTAAATGAGGGAATGTTATGAAAATAAGGAGGGCAAGTGTGATAACTAATTGTGCTGAAGTACTGTACCCATCACTCCATGAATTCTGAGTGTTCAGTGATGAAGGTCACAGGATCTTCAGGTAGAGATGTAGATAGTATAGGCCATAGATCATTCCCAGTTATAAAAAAGAATCTCAAGTAATATGATTCTGCAAAGAATCATTTGCAGCTGTTTTGTGACTTCATTGCCTTGTTTCCTTAGCACAATTTGGCAGTTTATTTTGGAATATCTCACCCAAGTATTACTTATTTGCCATTGATCTACGTTGGCATCTGTAGTCAGTGCTATTTAGATTTAAAAAGTAACTCCTAAAGTGCCAATACAGAATCTATGTGATTGTATCTGTAGCCAAGGTTATATTGTCTATATTTGAAGCAGTGTGCTAGTCACCTGTTATCCAGGATAGAGATGAATGCTGCCATTATTTCATTATGAAAAATCAACACCCATCACATGTGCTCACTCCACTGTTCACTTTAGGCAGTTTTGTTAATAAAAAGCCTGACAAAGGCCTTAGGAGCAAGTACAGTTAGGTGAAAATCATTACTGGTTCACATAATGTTTCTGAAAACTGGGCGTGGGTGAAGAACACTAATAAAATAATTCCTATTCTCCCAACATTATATATCATCACAAGTATAATGATATTTTGACAAGTGAGCCATATTATATAGGCATATGGATATGAATATATAGCCATTGATTATTGTACTGAGTCACAAGTCGATTCTGTGGTGGTACTACTAATTATGGCAGTTCTCACTAGTTAAAAGTTTGATTAGTTTTGACTGAATATTTACCTCATTCTATTTGCTAAGGGAAAAGTTACCAGGAACATCAGGCTCTTAGCAACATAATCCCAAAGGTCATTTGGTTATGCAAGATTTAGAGCCATTTATGAGCTTGATCAGAGAGGTTTGCTTATGCTATAAAGAGAAGTAAGCAGCACCTGTCACAGTGAGAGAGGAAGCACAGAACATTTTACTTGAGGATCTTTTGTTGCTGTACTACTTATCTTTAAAACTGTCAGTATAAGTGAGTGCTGTTTTGAACATTTCAACCTCCCCCCCGAAAGATGTTAAATTATGATTTACATCTCCCCAACAAATACATATTGATTGTTTAGTCTCATAAGTAAGCCTTTTAGGCTTACAGAAATTAAAAAATAGTTCTTGGATACCATCTTCATCCAACTTCCTGTAGTGTCAACAACTTAACATGCCATTCATCCAACAGTTATCAAAATAAGAAAATTAATTCAGTATAATACCCTTAGCTAAAGTGGAGGGGTTCTTTGAATTTTATTACATTTCTCCCTAATTTCCATGCTCTATTTCAGGATCCAACCTTGGTTCCCACATGGCATTTACTTGAATACTTCCTTAATTTCTTCCAACCTCCCACAATCTTTTCATATCTTTCTTGATTTGGACATTCTGGTTAACTGTTGAATTTTGTAGGATGCCTTTCAGTTTGTGTGAGAGCCACCAGTAGGAGCTGGATATCCAATAGAGCTTACATAAAGTGGGTGCATTTATTGCTCATTATGTTAACTGGAGTCACTTGAATAGGATGATTTTTCCCCCTTTGTGGAAGTTGATACATAACTTCTTGACTTATTCATCATTTTCCACAACATGCTATTGATTTTTAGAGACATTCCAATACGTACTATCATATAGGAACCAAACAGGAATAAATGTCCATCTTAGAAGTTTGGGTAATGAACTTAGAAGCTTGGGTAATGGTGGATTAATCAAGAAGTGATGAGAGGGGGAAATGGATCAGAGAATGGCAGGGAAAGCAGCACCATCAGACCACTACAGAGACAGAACAGCGAAGAATGGGAAGCCACATAGGTCTTGTGATGTCTGTGTCTTTCCCCTCACGTACTGTGTAGTGGTCCCTGTGCAGGTATCAGTGCCCCTGACCACCTGTAATTTAGCTTCCAATGTCAGGAAATGGATTTTCTGCCTCTGTTTCCTGATAAGTGATATTCCCTCAGATTGTAAGCTTTCGCTTCTCAATGAATGGAATGGAAAATGCCAAAGAAAAACTAAAAATCACAAAAATAAAAATAACATGTAATAAAATGTAAGTAAAATATAATAAAATGTCATCTCCACTGCGCGAAAACCAAGGCTAAAACCTTGACTCATCTCCTGCCATTCACAAATGTCACTTCCTCTCCCCTCTTGCTCATCCTAGAGA